CTTTACAAATGCCCCAGTGTGAGACCAAACATGCCTCAGATGCTGTGCCTGGCATCCCCAGAGGGATCATCAGGCTTGGCTTGGCCAGTTCCAGTGACAAGTCACCCGATTCTCCTGAGAGCTCCCCGTGCTGACCTGGCTCTGAATCTTTGAAAGTTCCTCCCTAAGTCAGGCTGAAGTCCACCCTTCCTTGACAATTCAGCCCTTTGCTACTTGAAAGTCACAAACTGATTTAGATGTGGAGGGAATTTCCAGTCTCTTTTCTAGCGAGTGTACCTGAGACTTGGTTCCAGATAGAGAACTTCACACCTTCCTCTGCAGGGTGATGGCTTCTCTGCAGTTTGAAGGGCGCAGTGCGTGTGTGCTAAGTGGCTTCAGTCCTGTCAGACTCTTTGCAACCCTATGGACCATAGCCTGTAGGCTCCTGTGTGCTAAGTGAACGGTAATAGATTCGAGGTGTTCCCCCGCCTGGCGGTCTCTGGAGGGAATCGCTATTTGATGTTCAAGAGAATGGGGAGTTACGTGGCTCAGAAGAAAAAGAAATGCAAAAAGGCAAAATGGTTGTCTGAGGAGGCCTTACAAATAGCTGAGAAAAGAAGAGAAGCGAAAGGCAAAGGAGAAAAGGAAAGATATACCCATTTGAATGCAGAGTTCCAAAGAATAGCAAGGAGAGACAAGAAAGCCTTCCTCATGATCAGTGCAAAGAAAGAGAGGAAAACGATAGAATGGAAAAGACTTGAGATCTCTTCAAGAAAATTAGAGATACCAAGTGAACATATCATGCAAAGATGGGCACAATAAAGGACAGAAATGGTATGGACCTAAGAGAGGCAGAAGATAACAAGAAGAGGTGGCAAGAATATGCAGAAGAACTATACGAAAAAGATCTTTATGACCCAGGTAACCATGATGGTGTGATGACCCACCTACAGCCAGACTCTTGGAATGCGAAGTCAAGTGGGCCTTAAGAAGCATCACTAGGAACAAAGCAAGGGAAGGTGATGGAATTCCAATTGAGCTATTTTAAATCCTAAAATAAGATGCTGTGAAAGCGCTGCATTCAATATGACAGCAAACTTGGAAAACTCAGCAATGGCCACAGGACTGGAAAAGGTGTTTTCATTCCAATCCCAACGGTAGTGCCAAAGAGTGCTCAAACTACCGCATAATTGCACGCATCTCACATGCTAGTAAAGTAATGCTCAAAATTCTCCAAGCCAGGCTTCAGCAACATGTGAACCGTGAACTTCCAGATGTTTAAGCTGGTTTTAGAAAAGGCAGAGGAATCAGAGATCAAATGCTGACATCTGTTGGATCATCGAAAAAGCAAGCAACTTCCAGAAAAACATCTACCTCTGCTTCATTGACTATGCCAAAGCCTTTGACTGTGTGGGTCACAAGAAACTGTGGAAAATTCTGAAAGAGATGGGAATACCAGATCACCTAACCTGCCTCCTGAGAAATCTGTATGCAGGTCAAGAAGCAACAGTTAGAACTGGACATGGAACGACAGACTGGTTCCAAGTCAGGAAAGGAGTATGTCAAGGCTGTATATTGTCACCGTGCTTATTTCACTTATATGCAGAGTACAACATGAGAAACGCTGGGCTGGATGAAGCACAAGCTGGAATCAAGTTTCCCAGGGGAAATATCAATAGCCTCAGATATGCTGATGACACTACCCTTATGGAAGAAAGCGAAGAATTAAAGAGCCTCTTGAGGAAAGTGAAAGAAGAGAATGAAAAATTTGGCTTCAATTCAACACTCAGAAAACTATGATCATGGCATCTGGTCTCAACACTTCATGTCAAATAGATGCAGAAACAATGGAAACAGTGACAGACTTGACATTTTTGGGCTCTAAAATCACTGCAGATATGAAATTAAAACATGCTTGCTACTTGAAAGAAAAGTTATGACCAACCTGGACAGCATATTAAAAAGCAGAGACATTACTTTGCCAACAAAGGTCCATCTAGTCAAAGTTATGGTTTTTCCAGTAGTCGTGTATGGATGTGAGAGTTGGACTCTAAAGAAAGCTGAGCACTGAAGAATTGTTGCTTTTGAACTGTGGTGTTGGAGAAGACTCTTGAGAGTCCCTTGGACTGCAAGGAGATCCAACCAGCCCATCCTGAAGGAGAGAAGTCCCGGGTGTTCATTGGAAGGACTGATGCTAAAGCTGAAACTCCAATACTATGGCCACCTGATGGGAAGAACTGACTCATTTGAAAAGACCCTGATGCAGGGAAAGACTGAAAGCGGGAGAAGGGGATGACCGACGATGAGATGGTGGATGGCATCAGCGACTCAATGGACGTGAATTGGAGTAAACTCCAGGAGTTGGTGATGGACCTGGCAGCCTGGAAAGCTGCAGTCCTTGGGGCTGCAAAGAGGGGGACATGACTGAGCGACTGAACTGAACTGTGGCTCTGAAGTCAGCTCTCAGATTGCCTTCATGTGCCCTGTGTGAAGAGCCAGCCTGTGCAGAGTGCATGGGTTTGGGTGTCAGGCATCCTTGTTCACAGGCACCTTGTCACTTCCTGGCAGAGGCAAGTTACGGACACACTCTGGAATTCCATTTCCTCTTTCCTATAAAGATAATAAGACTTCACTTGGCAGTTCAGTGGTAAAGAATCCTCCTGCCAATACAGGAGACATGGGTGGGATCCTTGATCTGGGAAGATCCCACTTGCCACGGAGCATCTAAGCCTGTGCACCACAACTCTTGAGCCTGTTCTCCTCCACAAGAGGAACCACTGTAATGAGAAGCCTGTGCATGGTAACTAGAGAAAACCACACGTTGCCGCACATAGCAACGAAGGCCCAGCATGGCCAAATATAAATAAACAAATAATTCAAAAGATGATATTTCTATGTGGGGGAATAAATGGGATCGTGGCTTGATTTCCTAGCACGGGCTTCCTGAACAGTGTTCATTATGATCTCCATATCCACACTGACATTAATGCAGCTCCCAATAGGTGCCTGGAGGAAGGCTCATTGGTTTGCAACCATGCTCAGGGTGAGGCCACAAACGGATAGGAGCCTTGCTTATCCAGTACCCACAGGGCCTGTGCATGTCCTCCAATAAGCCCTACAGAATAAATCACTGTACCACCATTTGAGGAAACTCAGTGAACCTGCATGGTCTGGAGTGACTGCTAGTTACAGACAGGTAAAGCAACTTCACTAAGGTCACACAGCCCATAGTCAGAGGACTGAACCTAAACTACCGTCTCACCTCCTGGCCATGCCACGCTGTGCTGATGATGATGCTGCTGGATGCTGACCCTGCCTCTCCTTATTCAGAGCTGTAAGGGTGCTCAGACACAGTCCAGGTGTGCTTCTGGCTGGGGAGACGGGAGGATGAAGCCAGAGAGCTCACCATGTATACAGAGGGTCCTGACAGCCACGTCAGTGCTTTCCCACGGCTGCTTCTGTGCCAGGTGTTCATGTGCTCACCTGTCCCGGGATGACGTGGTGCTGGTGTGGGGTCAGGGTAGGAGGCTGCAGGCAGCCTGCAAGTGTCAGCCCAGCCTGTGTCATTAGCCACATAACCTCTCTGTGCCTCAGTCTCCTCTGCTCTAAAGGGCAAAATAATTGTGCCTGGTTCTCACAGTGAAAGAATGTAACATGGGCAGACTGTCAAAATATGTTTGGCACTTAGTGAGTATCTATAATATCAACTATTTATTTATTATGATTATTAGCATAAGAGCCATTTTTCTACTTCCAGAGAATCAAGCAAGGACAGGAGGCTTAGTTCCGGGTTCTGTGTCATCCCCATCAACCCTGTGAGCATGTGACCAGTTCCCCTCAGAGGGTTACCCTCCATTCAGGAAAAGAGGCATTAACCCTAGAGATAGAAAGCCATAAGCAAGACAGTCTGGGTCCTCCTAACAGATACAGAAGGATCCTGCCGTTTCTGCTGTCACCTGCCTCAGGATTTCCTTACCATTTTCTTCTCAATGATTCATATTTTCTTGGGTATATCATATGAAAAATAAAGCTACATGAAAAGTTCATTATATGAAAAATGACCACTACTGAAAAGAAGAGTAAGACAGTAGCCAGAAAATCATATATACATTCCTTTTCTTTCTCATGTGTCACTCCCAGGATTGAGCCTTACACAGTGGGAAGTGCTGAACACATAGTTCCGGCTCAAAGGGAGGCTTTCTCACTGATGCTCTTTCAACTGGGAAGTGACAAAAAACCAGAAGGGAATAACTTCCCAGCACTGTGATCCTGCCTGAGTAGCCTCTTTGTACTGTGTGCAGTTTTGCCTTTGAGAAAGGCAAGTCCTAACTAGTATTTCCCTTTGGGGTCACTATGAGAATTCAAAAAGTAAAGGTAATTAACAAGGCTTGGCACAGTTTCCAAGGCGTGTAATTGTCAGGAAATTGTCAGCAATACCGACAGGGTAATTACCCACTCATCTTTCTTATTGAATGCCAGGTCTGCCTATCTTCCTGTGGGAGGCATCCTATGATTAGGGAACCTCCATCCTGGAGTGCAGAAGCCCCGTTACAGTTGAGGGAAGCCGCAGGAAACCTGAGGCAAAGGGGCCCCTGGAGAAACTCGCCATTGTCTCTTCAAGAAAGGAAAACGGAAGTGAGGACCAGAGGCCTAAAGAAATGTGGGTCGCGGGGCTGTTACAGGAGACGTTACAGGAAAACCGCTGTGAAAGGACCGTGGTGGGGACCGAGGCAGGCCATGCCTGGGGACGCCGGGGAAGGGGAAACGGTGGCGAGGGTCACCTCCACCTTGGGTCTGGGGCACCACTCCCTGACTTCAGCCAGGTGGGACAAGAGCGAGCGGGAGGCGGGGGTGGTTCACTGGCTCCAGGCAAGGGCGACCCAGAGGCCGGCTGTGAGCGGGGTCTGTGGCCGGGAAGCGGCGAGGACACAGGAACCGTGTTCCCAGACGCCCGGGAACAGGTGGCTGCTCACGTGGTGAACATGGGGACGGGAGGCGAGGGAGGCTGGGACACCGCTTACCGCTGGGCGCCGGACACCTCCGGACCTAAGTGCGCTGCGGGCGGGGCGGGCGCAGGGGGCGGGGCCTCTGCGCGCGGTCCCCTCCCCTTGGAAAGCAGGCCAGGCTCTGGCCTCCAAGGCCTTGCACCAGACCAGTGAGTGGGTCTGCTTCACCAGTACTTTGGACCTTGGACCTCGGACCTCGCCTTTCCTCCTGTTGGACCGCAAGTGCTCCCGCCCCACTGGTGAGGGGCCCCTGGATTTGAGCCCTACTGATGCCTGCTTCCCAGGCACAGGACGGAGGGTCCCTAGGGTTGCAGAAGGGAGTGTGTGGGGTTTGATCGCAGGGGACCCCTGTCACTTGCTGATCCAGGAATGTCTTCCTAGCCAGGCTCCTGAGAGCATTTCAGGCTCCCTTGGCCTACATTCTAAATCTGAAGGTACGGAGGCTCCAGACTGTCCCTCTTGTCCTCATCCAGGGGGTCAGGGGACAGCAAGACCACGACCCAGTGCTGGGCAGAGACCTTGGACCTGCGTGGCCTTGGGGCAGGAGGGGACATGGTGCCTCTTGGGGTTCGGGACACAGACTTGGCCCTGAGCCCCAGTCAATCTCGGCTGGCTCTGGAGCCTGGGGCCTTCCCTGGGAAGGGGATTTACTTTCCTGGGACCCAAAGCAAAGAGCTGGGGCTTCTCTATCTGCCTGAGTGGACTGGGAGCTCCAGCGCTGATGCTGACCCAGGAGGAGGGGGAGGGGGCCCTGCTGATGTCTGCAGTGGCTCCTTCTTACCCCCCTGCTCACTGCTGGCCTTTCCCATCCGGGCAGGCGGCTCCTGCACCTGCAAGGCCTGCAGGTGGCCCTCCTGCAAGAGGAGTGAGTGCGGGCCCTCCCCTGGGAACCCAGGGTCTGGGCTGAGGTGGCACCTGGAGCTCAGCAGGACACTGACCAGACTTCCTGGCACCTGCCTCAGCAGGAACAAATTACCAGTCATGAGATGACATGGTGCCCAGTCAGGGTGAGGGCGAGGATGTTGCACTCAGCCATCATGAGTGCCTGTCCCACCTGTGTCACTACTGGGTGACCTCACCTCTCTGCTCAGTCTCCTCCTCTGTGACAGGTACAACCACAGCTCCTGGTTATTTTAGAATCTAACTTTAGGCAACAAGCTTAAGATTTAATAGTTTAATAGGATTTAAGTATGTAAGAGATGGATAGTCTTAGAATGAAGCCTAGCACACACTGAGCAACCGAACTATCAGATATTACTTATCATTCATATTACAGGAGATATTTTTCGACTTCCAAACCAATAAGCCAGGGCTGCTGTTCATGGCTGTGTGTCCTGTGTCATCCTCAAAAACCAAGTGTTATTGTGCCGTTGTCCAGAGAGGGTTATCATCCTTTCCACAAATGAGGAGGTGGCACTAGTGATGTAAAGCCACGATCAAGGCTGTCCCTGTTCTCCTAAGAGATGCAGGAGGTTACCTACTGTTCCTGCTATCGCTTGTACTAGGATTTTACCTAACATTTGCTATCTCTATACAAAATTTTTAAATTTTATTTTCACTCAGTTACAATAGGTCTTAAACCCAGGGCCCCAAGGGAAGTGGGTATGCTGGTCTTTCAGTGGTTTGGGGATATTATTTTTTAAGGGAGAAATGTCTGAGCAGGGCTTCAATCCTGCATTCCTGAGGCAGGTTTTCACTGACCTTACTACCTGCTGTGCGTCCCTGGTGGCTCAGTGGCAAAGAACCCACCTGCCAATGCAGAAGACAAGGCTTTAATCCCTGGGTCAGGAAGATCCTCTGGGGAAGGAAATGGCAACCCACTCCAGTATTCTTGCCTGAAAAGCCTCACGGACAGAGGAACCTGGGGGGCTACAGTCCAGGGACTCACGAAGAGTCGGACATGACTTGCAGACTGAACAGAAAGAACTATCTGTCACCAGTATTTCCCATGCTTCCCTGATAGAGGTCCAGAGAAGGGCCTGCTGTAAGTGTAAACTCCGCTGTGGGTTAGTGGCTCCTGAGGACTATATACTCTGATACTCACCACAGTTGGCCTCTAGCCTCGATTCACATTTTCAAGTCACCGTATTCACACACATGATGACTCCATCTTCCACGTGTCAGCAGTCAGCCAGTGTTCATGTCCCATCTCTCCTCCACAGTGCCCGTCTTCCTTTAGACTTCAGAGTAATTGCCCTGCAACCTTTTTGAATGAATCAAATAGTCATGAAACTGGGAATAATCTGGATTTTTCTTGCAGAAATGGTGGCTGTAACATTCTTAGAGATTTCTACATCCCAGGAGAAGCCAGAAATCACCCCAGGGATCTGAAAGAGACAGGTTTCAGGTGACACTTCAGGGACTCACTCCAAGGTGGTCACTGCTTGGCTCTGATGTCGTCCAGGCCTCAGAAAGGGGTCAGATGAGCTCTTGGAAGAGATGGCCCCAGGGAGGGGCCTGGAGGGATGATCCGTAAGTTGAAGGAAGAAGTGCAGACCTATGGGAGGGCCAGGAAGGGCCAGGCAGCCCCACATGGATGAGGGGGACATGGTACTCTAGTCCCCCACATCCTCTCATTGGAGTTGTGGATGACCCAGAGGAGTGGACCAGATGCAGCGTCCCCCTCAGCACCTCCCAGGGCCCAGCCTGCTCCACTCTGCACGCCCAGAGGTCGAGCCAGAACGGCCAGAGCACCTTCCTGCCAATGGTGCCCCAGTGTCTTCATCCTTCTCTCACTAAGGAGGATGGCTTTATTCCAGCGCAAGACAAAGACATTGACTTGGTCTCCAAAAGAACATTTATTTCCAAATTGAGGCCACAGAAACAGAAACTCCACCTCCCTGACCTCTGCCACTCCCATCGGACAATTCCTCAGACTCCACAGTAAGACGCCTCTTTGGCACATAAAAACTTGGGGCCCAGTCGAGTGTCCCATTCACAGCTCGACATGTTTTGACTGTGGTACCTTCTTTGCCGCCTCCCTGGACAGAAGCTCGTTCCAGAAAGCCACTTCCTTGTCTTTCAGCTTCTCAGCTGCCCGAGTGTTGACACCAATCTGAAGGTACCCTTCTTTGTGGTCATATGCTGGCCAATGGGGAAGCCCCTCCCCATTAGGGTTCCTGAAACAGAATCAAATAGAAATTCACCAGAGCAACAGTTTGGTCCCAACAACACTCTGAGATGGTCAGGGACCCCGTGGCTTCATTTCTGCCAAAGGTTCATATGCTGCCAGAGACAGGAGGCTGACCATGTCCTGGGCAGCCAGTCCATCACAGGGAGCTCTCATGTTAGAGGTCACAGGGCGGGGTGTTTGACCATCATACGTTGGAAACTCCCTCCACCCAAGAAACACGCCCTGTCCCCTTCCCAACCCTGCTCCATCTCTGCCAGCAGCTCACCCATTCCGAGCAAAGTTGGCCCAGAATTTCATCATCATTTTGCTGAGATTGATTTCCTCTTCTGAGGCACCATCTGTGGGGAGGGGATAAAGCCACTGCTGCTCAAAGTGTGGTTCATGGGCAACAGAAGCATTTGAGAAATTGTTAATAGATTCAGAAATGGATCCCTTACTCTGGACCTACTGAGTCTAAACCTGCATTTTAAGAAGATCTTGGGTAATTCAAGTGCACTTTAAGCTTGACAGTTACCAACTGAGGCTGGGCTCAGTGAAGGCCTGCAGTCAATCCATAAGCTGATTGCCTTGTCTTCTTGGCTACCCGACTGCCCTTCCCCTGTCAGTGTTTCAGGGACACACCCCAGGGTTTCTGCTAGAGTAACCCCACCTCCCAGGATGCTCTCCTTTGGGTATTTTTTCAGTTTTCTTCACCCACATATATTTTCACAGAATTTGAAAAATAACCAAGCTGCAAGATCCCCAAATAGTCATCCATCAGTCACCCATCAGGAAGTATCCAGAGGCACAGCCCTGGGGTGTGTCACACGCAAGCTGTCTGTTAACTGTTGATGGTGAAGACCTTAAAGACATTTGTGAGAGTTATTTTTTAAAATATTATAATCTTAAAGATATTTCATTAAAAGAGATATGAGCTTTAGATAGATGGTTGGATATACAGACACACACACATTAGTCCTGGTTCAAGGTTAACAGCAGTTCTATCCTTACGCTCTCACTCACATTCTGATATACTCTTGTGAGTGTGGCATGAATAGTGGCCTTCTAGCCCTGAGCAGGGCCCTGCAGGTGACCCAGTTCCCATCTTGCTGATGCTCAGGTCTGGATTCTAGAGTGGCCATGGGTGAGGGCACCAGGATATGCATTCTACATCATGTATGTTAGAACAACAACAACAACAAAAATGCTCGGGACCCTTTGTCCTTCCACCCTGTGATGGTGAATTCAGGAAACTAAGAACTGCAGAGAAGGAGGAACTTGCCCAAGGTCACCAGGTCAAAACTCGGACCAGGATCTCCTAACTCCAAGTTTATAGTCACCAAAAGGCCATCACCTTTTAGAAATGGAGCCCCAAAGACAGAGAAGATTTCATCCCCGTGGTCTCCTATCACCGTCTTGGGTTTCAGCTCTGATGAGAAGCTTGGGCGATACTGAAACTCATACATGTAGATGGGGGCTCCAGCATCTGGAAAACATGGATTCATACATGGTTCATTTCAGCAGACACACAACTGGACAGTATCAAGGGCTCCAGGGGGCCATAAACAATCAGGAAATTGGGGGCACATGGTCCTGAGTGAACAACAGGAGTATTAATAACAGCTGCCCACTGTGAGAACCAACTGTGTGCCAACCTTATGTGTTCCTGCAGCAAGTCCCTGGTTATTAGCACAATAGAGAATAAAGAGCTTGAAAAACATTCTATGACTTGCTTAAGGGTGCATTGGTAGAGGCGGAACTACATTTGAACCAGTATTTATTCAATGACTGAGTAAATGAATGAATAAATAAAATCAATGTTGAAACTCTGGGGAAACTGATTAAAAACAACTATCATTATAGAGGCATCGGGTCAATTTATATAAACCTCTTTGCCCTGATGCATTCTCACACCAGAACATCTAGATACATACAGTTTATGTCCACAGAAATACCACTACATTTCATTGACAGCAGGCTGCTTTTCTTTCCTGTGGAGAATACCTGCAGCACAACACGTGCTTTCAGTTCTGCCTGTTTTTGAGCATTTCGGGCCAAATGCAGTTAGTATCGGATGTACAACTCCCAACAGTTTCCACGCCTGTGTTTATGCGGAGGGTCGGGCAGGAATCAGTGAAGGTGGAATGGTGGTGACCCTCTCCTGCCCCATGTCCAGGACTCACCTCTGTAGCGACGGGCCACATTTACAGATGGGACGCCAAATACCACATCTGCCATCAAGTCCAGGAACAGGTCTTTGTTTTTGACAGGGTCGTGTGTCCCTCCTAAATACTTGTCAGTGGCCACTGGAATCAGTTCCTCAGGAATGCTCTGAAACAGATCAAGTGAAAGTGACCACTGTTAAAATTAAATACAAGATAGAGACCAGACTTGTGAATTATCTGTGCAGACAAAACCATTTAACCCATGGGAGCAAAACTAACTCTCACTTATTTCATGTACCTAAGCAAAACCTAATTTAGGTTATTTTTCTGTAAAGCCCTCTGACAATCACAAAATAAACTTAAGTCATCTCCCTAAAATGGTATGAGATAAGCACTTTTCACCATTCCCTTGACACCTGAAAAAACTCTATTGTAATAAACAATCACTGAAAAGGTGAACAACTTCCTCATTTTCACTTTAGAAGCCATGTTGTAACTTCATGTCCTCAAACCTATCAGTCTTTGAAATTGGAAGCTCCCAGAGAGCAAAGTGGTGTTTATGTACAATAAATTCTTCTTAAATATTACTCATTCACTTGGTGGTTTTAATTTTGCTACTTCTCAATTTTTGACCTCACCACCCCTGGTGAGTGGACACAGCATGTCTTCTTTGGTTAATGGTGAGCCTTTCAAGTCGACTTGAAACTTTCCCCCACCCCTCAACCTGAGTAACAATAAGCAAAGTAGAAAAAGTGGGTCAGAATCTCCCAGCCCCAGTCTTCATTCTGCCATTAATTGCTCTGCAACTGGGGACAAGCTTCTGGCCCTCTTTGGGGCTCAACCAGTTCCTATGATTCCTAGAGTCTTACAAGGAGAGGGTAGGACTGCCACAGGAGTGACGTGGCCATCTTCTGGTCCAGCTTGTCTTCAGACAGAGGGTAGCCCATGAGCTGTTAAAACAAAGGTTAAACAACTGTGAATCATTAAGCAATGGCAGGAAAAACCCAAGGGACCAAACCAATGCAGACTTAAGGTCACTTTGTCATGTCTTGATGGGCATAGGTCTTTGATGAGTTGGGCAAAACCAATGAATCAAATGGACTTTTCTATCTAGAGATCAAGGAGTGCAAGGAAGATAAAGTAATTGTTAAGGGAAGGTGCCCCAGTCTTTGTGTGTGTGTGTGTGTGTGTGTGTGTACAAATAATTAGGCTAGAGTCCCCACAATAATCATCAAGACAGAAAGGGAAGGTTTCAGCCAGCCTAGTGTTGAAGTGGAAGGCTCTGGGGCAGAGGACACAGACCTCCACAAATACCCTGCCATGTCAGATAACTGAGAAAGCCCCAAATCCTGCCATTATGACTTTGGTCCTTTGGTAAAACCTCTGAAATCGTGCTGAAGAACCACAGAACTCTGCACATAACAACTCCATCAAAACTCTGTCCTAAGAGGTTTGACCAAACTCCAGAACAGCTTCAGGAGGCTTAAGGCCATGTCCCTAGTATGACCGCAGGCCCCCTTGAAGAGATCTGGGCTCTGGGCTGCCAGGAGATTTTACTGTTTGTTTCAGCCCAAACCTGATGATAGGCAGGTAGGTCCACGAACCCCTTCTAAATCTTTTCTTTGCCCCTTTAGATGTAAATCTTCCACCCAAAACTGTTTCCTCAAGGATCTGAGAGCCATCTTTATGAAAAACATACATCCAGGGGTAATTCTTGCTCTCTCCTCCAGTCCCGGTGAGATGATAAAGGCCTAACTTCAGTGGGGGTCTTGCTTCTACTTACACCACTGCCTCCCTTCATAAAGGCAGGAGTTGTTTCTTCTCCACATAAATGCCAGCTAACAAATCCAGGGAGCCCAGTTACATGGACAATCCACCTCGCCTCACCCATGCCTTAAAGAGGCTCCAGGCTTTCATTTCAGGGATTGGGTTCAGTTCACAATGGATCGTTTCCCTCTAGCAGGGATGTAACTGAATCAAATCTGTTACCACTTCAACTAGGGTCTGGCTTTGTTTATCTCTGTTAGAAGGGAAAGCCCTTCCTAACTTTTAGAAGTCAATTTTAGCTCAGGAGGAAGCGGGCTCCTCTGAATATTTCCAGTGAGATGACTGAGAGCATGGGTGGGGTGGGGGTAATTTATGGAGAAAGCATGAAAGCAGCAAGCCTGAGGAGAGAGGCTGCAGGTTCCAAGCCCCACTCTCCTTAACTCCCGAGCCCCTTCCCCTTTCCAGGCCTTGGGTTTTTCATCTGCCCAGTGATGATCTCTACCAGCCCTCCTGGCACTGACATTTCAGGGTTCATGGATGGGAGGACAATCAGAGAGTGTGTGGGGATGCGGGTCCCCAGAACTGACCACCCAGATGACAGTGTGGACCATCAGAGATGGTTTCCATGGAAATGTCAGCTTGTATGACGGGGATAGCTGCCCTGGTCCCAGAGAGATGTCTGTGACCACAGATGGGAGGGTGATGTGATGGGAGACACGTCTACAAGGCCTGCGCTTTCTCACCAGTGGAATAATCCAGCCAAACTCTTGCTTGTTGATTCCCACCATGTAGGGAACATTGTTGAAATTCTTTTCAGCCAGCATCTCTTCGGGCATCTTTGGCAGCAGCATTCCGTCAACCACGGTGGGCAGGAAAGGATGGCTCTAGGGAAGACAGCAAGGGAGTGTCTGTGCTTCCCCTCCCAAGTCACACCTGCATCCCCCTCTCCACCTGCTGGAACCCGAGGACAGTATCACACACCTGGGTGCCTGTGGGTGATGGCCACACACCTGGGTCCTAACAGAGTGGGCTAAGTCTGCAGGTCCAAGAGGACAGAACTCTGACCAGGGGACAGCAGTGGTCAGGTGATGGGGACAGATCTTCACTCAAATTGGTGTGAAAATATATAATATAATGTGCATTTAATTTGAATTGTACACAGTAATATATCTATGTGCATTTCTCCATCTACAGTCCTTGCAAGCATCTCTTTACAGGAAACCACCCTCAGTAGGAAGTCCCTTTTTTTTTGGTCACTTTAGCAAAGCTATATGATAACCAACTTTTAAACCAGGCCCCTCCGCCATGCTCTATTCATCTCCAGCCCAAGTACACTTTTCAGATCTTTTAACACACAATACCTTGCCTAACTTTTTGGTTCTTCCCATAGATCAAAGAAATAGAAATGAAGAATAAGTAATTAACAGATGACCAGGTCTCCTCCCTAGCTTCTCCTTTAGTAATCTCTGAAATAAACTATGTGAACAAGAAGATATCTAGAAGAAGATCATGAGGAATCAACAACCTGCATATGAGCCTGCAGACAGAGGGGAATGGCAACCACTCTGATCTCCTATCTCAGTGGCAAAATGACATTACTTCTCTGTTGCTCTTTAAAAAGTTTCATGACCGGGGACTTGCCTAGTGGTCCAATGGTTAGGAATCAGCCTTGCATTGCAGGGGTCTTGGGTTTGATCCCTGGTTGGGGAACTAAGATATCACATGCCTTCAGATAGCTAAGCCCACGCATTGCAATTACTGAGCCCACGTACTACAGCTAGAGAGAAGCCTGCATGCTGCAACAACAACAGAAAGATTCATGGCCAAACAGAAACTTGGGAGGTGGTTTTGGGGGGATGCTGACTTCGCCATCTTCCCAGATCGCTATATTCTGATTAAAGGCACCTTTCTTTTTTACGATTTGTGAATATGTATTTGATGTCATAACCAGTAAGCAGCGGGACCCCTGATCAGTTCGGTAACATTCTCAGCATTCGCAGCACCTCAGTTCTGTCAAGTCACCATTACTCTAATTTAGGGAATGCTCTGTCACTTCAACAGGGGAAATATGGGGCCAGGTTCCTGGGCCTCTGGTCACATGTTCTCAACCTTGTGTTGTGAATGTTCCTGTTTAAAGACACCTTATGTAATATACATTTCTTACGGACAGTTAGTTATGTGTGATATTTATTGATAATAAAACATCAACCAACAAGGCCTCAATGTTTTCTCAGTCTGGGGAGGCTGCTGTTGAGTTTCCTGCATGACTGGGAGGAGGTGTCCTGAGGACTGGGATTCATGGCTCCTTTCCCCACATCCCTGCAAATAGTGTGACTTGCACAGCCAGTCAACCCTGCAGCACCCCCAGGAGATGATCCGGGCTCCTCGTGAAGGCTCCTGAAGATCCCCTTACCCAGTCATCTCCACTCGCCACACTGGAGGCTTCTCCTCCACCTTCTCCCAACAGGGCATTTTTAGGAACATAAACAAGACCAGGGGCTGGCTGGGGACAGGGGCACAGAGTTCAAAGCTGGGGGCATTGGACTAGGGGTCCGGGAAACTGGTTCCACTCCTATATCTGGTCTTCTGGCTGCGTGACCCAGGCAGGGTCACTGCCTGTCTCTCTCAGCAATAGAAGCACAATGAGATACCATGATTCTACAAAGAATTATTTCATTCTTTCCTTTTCATTAACTGGAGCGTAAAGGTGTCAAGTGGAGAAGGAAATGGCAACCCACTCCGTTATTCTTACCTGGGAAATCCCATGAACCGAGGAGCCTGACGGGCTACAGTCCATGGGGTCGCAAAGGATGGGACTCGACTTAGTGACTGAGCAAAGGTGTCAAGACTTAAAAGGTGTGATCAAGAAACCAAAGGCCCTTACCTCTCTGGGGTCTCCATGTAAATCAAGAGCGAAAAAGTTCTGTGAAGACAAAGGCAGAGGTTGTGGTGAGGAGGCTTCCTGGGAGGAAAGCTGACCTCTTTGAGCTGTGCCCAAAGGTACCAAGTGCTCCCTCCTGGCGCCGCCCTGGCTGGGCTGAAAGGAAGCGGGCAGGACGCCCTCGCCTGGGCGCCAGCACAGGTGCAGGGGTGGGGTGGGGGAGGGGAGCTCCCGGAGGACTGTTGCTGCTGCCGGCCCTGCCCTCCACCCATTTCCCCTTCTTGTTCCTCCAGGAAACAACACCCGGATTTTCCTTTGGGGACCCCCTCTTCCCCACTCTCACTCCATGTTTGCAGGCATCTGTATGTGACCTCCTGGAGAAGGCAATGGCACCCCACTCCAGTACTCTTGCCTGCAAAATCCCATAGACGGAGCCTGGTGGGCTGCAGTCCATGGGGTCGCTAGGAGTCCAACACGACTGAGGGACTTCACTTTCACTTTTCACTTCACGCATTGGAGAAGGAAATGGCAGCCCACTCCAGTGTTCTTGCCTGGAGAACCCCAGGGACAGGGGAGCCTGGTGGGCTGCCGTCTATGGGGTTGCACAGAGTCGGACACGACTGAAGTGACTTAGCAGCAGCAGCAGCAGCAGTATGTGACCTCCAGTGCATCAAATCCCTCGACACAGGGACTACTTCAGGGGTGGACATCTGCCAATGTCAGTTCAATAGAGTTTACCCAAATTTTTGCTGCAATTGTTGGGAAATAGTGTTTCTAAGCAAATTGTATGTAAGACTAGAGTACTGTGCTGTCTTTAACCTCCCCAGGGGACAAATCATTCTGAGAGTGAAACCAACACAGAAAGGTAAAAGCTGAGGGATAGAGATAGATTCTTAATAATAGCATATGTGCATCTGGATCTAGCCATGCCTGAAGCCATCCACTCTTGGATTTGTCAGTGAGTTACCTGAAGATTCTGTCACAACATATTCCTTTCTCTTCTTAAGGCACTTTGAGATGAATTTTTCTTATCTTGCTTTAGAAAATCCTGACTCATACAAAGTCACTGAAATTCAGCCCACCTCACACTTCTCTTTGTTATGAGCTTACCAAGACTGTACTAGTTTTATTGTGACACTGTAGCTAACAGGCCTGACCATTATGCAGGAAATCCTAGTAAGGATCCCTTCATTGTGGGCTGTAGGCCCACAATCCAGGTGTGCATGTGTGTGCGTGCACATGCATGCATGTGTGTGTGTGTGTGTGTGTGTGTGTGTGTGTGTGTGTGCTGGGGAGAGAGGATAATCCTGGAAACACTTCCACATGATCTCAGAAGAATAACATGGACTCAGGTTCTCTGGGTTTTCCCAAAGTCACCCAGTCTCCCCTTATAAGCTGACTCTCTTGTGCCACATGAAGAATTGATGGAAGAAATTTACCTCTGACAGAAATTTACACAACCAGAAAACAGTTGTGCTTTTATCTTTGAGCACAGTGGTCACCTTATTTGAGCCTGAGAAACCAAGACTCAAGGCTACTTTGGACTGAACCCATGGAAATAGAGCAGAGTCCAGTGCTGGAGGTTGGCCCCAGGGAGCCCAGGAGTAGCCTCAGGATTCCAGGGTCCGGACAGGGAGTCCAGGTGCTCAGGCTACTCCAACAGTTCCCGTCAGCTGTAACTGTGGTGTTCTCTGGGTATCTGCCCTGCTGTAACTTCCTGTGATGACCCCCCACCATAGCCATCCGTCAGTCCTGAAATGTCACCTGCTCTGTGAAGCTGCCCTGCCTATTATAATGAATGCCTCACCTCTGTACTCCCACCACACCTAGTCCACTTAAGTCAATGTGTCTATTTCTCCTGTGATAGGGACTACATCCAATTATGACTGCATCACCTACTCTGTTATCTCCCTGCATACACTTAGCAGAGATGGATGGATGGATGGATGGATGAAATTAGTCAATCCAAGGAGTATGGGTGAACTTGGGGGGATAAGTGGATAGACAAATGATAGCCAGCAGACTCGGTGATGGATTCATCATTGATGTTAGAGAGATGGGTGATGAAATACATATATATGGATAATTGGTAACAGATGAATGAATGCTTAGATGAATTGATATTATTTTAGGTTGGTGAAAAGATACTAATAAATTGGATTCATTGGTGGATGGACAGATTAAAAAATGATGACTGAATGGATATATGAATGGCTGAAAGGTTGGATGGATGAATGGATAAATACACAGTTATGTTAGAATCACAATTGAGGCAGACACCCAGAAAATCTAGAAAACTGGACCACTGGGTTATAATTGAGGTGGTTTCTAAATGAACCAAAACAAATTGTGACAATATTTCTGAAAATCTTTGTTCGAAATAATCCCATCCCCCAAATTCAGGGTGATAATTATCTCTGAGAATATGTAACGTTTAATTTCTTAAAAATGTATCAGAAACTGAAGCCCCCTTACCTCGAGGGCGTGCTCTACAACAAGAAAAGGCACGGCAATGAGGAGCCTGAACACCACCAGCCAGAGAGCAGCCCCCACTCACCAAAACTAGAGGAAGCCCGCACATAGCATAGGAGACCCAGCACAGCCATAAATAAATAAAATTTTTAAAAATATTAGAAAACAAGTTTGGAAAAAGTTAAGTGTTGACAGATATGAGGAGTCATTATTACACAGTTGTTTATTACGTTATTTTTTGTCTTTGCTAACATCTGAGATAGTCTGTAATAAGGAAGGAAGGGAAGAAATTTCCCATTCAGATCTAGAGGTTGACACTGCCCCTGGGAGATGAGAAACTGCTCCAGGTAGTTCTTCCAGGGCAAGAGGACTGAAGCTGAAATAATGAAGCCTGGGGCCATGTTTCCAGGGTAGGGGGCTTGTGGTTCCAAGAGAGTAGACGCACCTACCATTTTCAGTGTTATCTCCATGAGCTCGTCCTCTGTCTTCTGGCGCAGGCAGTGAACAAGGACAGCCGAGGTGGTGGTTTTACAGCCAGCAATGACAGCAATTTGCTGTAGAGATCACAGGTGACAGCAGAATTCAAGAGCCGTGCCTCTTCCCTCCATCAATACCGAAGTGTTCTGTCCCAACCTCCATTTCTATAGGCAGTCCGTGGTAGCAGTAAACACCCCAGACCAGTAGGTCCTGGGTCCCAGGCATGCCAGTTAGACTCCTCAGCCCTTGCTGCTTTATCTCTGTTAAAGTGGACAGAATGCTCTCAAAGCTGAACGTCTAAAGAGAGGCAGCACACACCGGGTGCTTAAGAGCCTGGAATCCAGAATCCCATCTTCTAATTTCAAATCTGGACTCATCCAGTTAATAGACATTTGGCATCAGGCCAGTCCATTGCAAAGTGCAGCCAGAGGGGAAGACACAGAAGAAGAGAAGTCAGGCACCACAATGACGGGACCCTGGAGAGTGTGCACGGGCTGCCTGGAGCCTGGTCCAGTGTCTGACAGACATCAGTGCTCAGTATGTATGTGGTGGAAAAATAAAAAGGCACAGGAAGAAGTAGAGGAGAAAGGAAAAGTGAGAGCGCAAAATAAGGGACTTAAGATTCTTCATTCTGCAATTTCTGGTCCTGTTTGATAACAAAATCCAAGTCTATCTGTGCCACATCCATTTCCTTTCAATAAACTCCCCCTTAACTTTAGCCTGATTAATGGGCTTCTGCTGTTAATAGCCAAACAATTCTGAAAAAAATTCTCAAAAATTCTAAACATTCTTGGACTCTTATCTCCTCCGCTCCTACTTACCAGTCATCCCTTTAAGTCTGGCTGCTGCCCCCACCCCTCCACCAAACCAGCTCTCACAGCCGGACCAAACGTTCCACATCACTCACACTAAGGCACACTCCTCAGCAGGGACTCTGTGTTGCTCATCCTTTCTTGTCTTTCTAATAGTCTCCAAATAAAGACAAAGCCCTCACCTGGCCCTATGTAGAATGACCCTGCCAATGGCCCCATCTTCAACTCTCTCCAGGTCCTGTCTGCACTTTCTAACTTTGCCACATCAACGTTCCTCACTCACTCTCTTGAGATACCTGCTCCTGCCACAGGACATTTGCACAGACTGTTCCTTCCTCCTGGATATCCTTTTCTTATCAAATAAAGTACTGCTAATTCTTCTCATCTCAACTCGTGATCATTTTATTTTTCAAGAAGCCTTTCACGATAACCTCCCCCTACAAACTGGACTACGTGTTGCTTTTGGATTCTGTTGCATCACGTACCTCTATTGCTGCAGTCACAGCTGACATTTTCTAAGTTGTGCAATTATAGAATTTAATCTGCCTCCTAAATTATCAAAGAAGCTTCATGAGGTTGCTAGATGTCAGATTATATCATGGCTGCTTGTTGAGTGAATGAATCCTCTAGGAAACTATCCCAGTCACAAACCCCCAGGAAGAATCCTCCAGAGTCTCATGGAGCCAGGGAGTTCAGCAGATCTCAGACCCTGAGATGACAGATGACAGGCCATTGCCCACTGTGCAGCCCCTCACCCCACCTGGCACACTTCGGGAACCATGTTCAGTGGAAAGTGCACGGGGCTGGCAGACCAGAGTCAAGAGCCCGAGCCCAGCTCTGCCCTCATCACTCTCTGACCTTGGCGAGTGCTGCAGCTCTCTTCCCAGCTTGCTAGGTGGCATCACTGGGACGGGGGTGAGGGGTGTCCTTCCCCTACATGTTCAGCCACCCTCACTTCTGTGATTCTTCGAGGATGTCAGCCAGACCCGATTCTAAGAACAGCCCTTGACAACTCCAGGAAAGCAGAACAAATGGTGTGGGGACAGTCCAGTGTGAGACCTACCTCACCTGCAGCCTTCGAGTCCTTCTTGACCAGGGCAGAAGTGAGGGCCACGCCACTCTCAGAGATGGCCCGGTGGAAGAGATTTTTGGCCAGGGGAGATAACACCTGGGAGGACCGTGTTGAGAAAGAGAGTTTATGCTCACGGGGAGGGTGGTCTTCAAGAGCTATACCCATCCACAACCCTGTCCTGGACTGCTCCCATGGAGACCATGGGCCCAGCATCTGTGAGAAGACCTCAGCTGGAGGTAGGCAGGAGCAGAGTGACGGACAAAACAGGCGGTGTGTGGCACCCACTGACTGTAACAATCAACAGTATCTGAAGGTAGCTTAGCAATTCCTAGCAACACTTTAGAGGCACAGTTCTTACAGCAACTATACTCCAGTAGGAATTAATTTAAAAAATAAAAGTAAATAAAAATTTTAAACCTGGCTGGGGAAATATAAAATAAATAAATAAAATGGAGGCACAGTTCTGATTTCCTGTTTCCATTACTCAGAATTTATCCTAAGGAAAATGAGCATGGAGGTACACAGCAACTTTTAATAACGCTCATGCTGTTTATAATAGTAAACACTGGGAATAACCCAAGGTTTCAATATTGTGAGATTGGGTAAATAAGCTATTTTTCATTCTTACAGTGGAACTACTTGACAATACACACAAAAATATGAAAGGGTATTTAATTGTTAGATAAAGATTTATGTTGTTTTATAATGCTAAGGAAAATTGGTATTTAAGAAATTTCACCTAGATTAATACATAGATAGAATCATGGGAAAAATTAGAAAAATACAGATCAAAATGTTCACGGTGAGTCTCCACAGACAAGGGGACTGTGAATGAATTTTTTTCTTCTTTGAGGTTATCTGTACTTTTTATTTCTCCACTTTATGAAGAATAAAAACATTTTCCTCTGAGTATTCAGTTGTGAAACCAACATAGTTTTTTTAAAAAGCAGTAATAGGGACTTCTGGGTGGTTCAGTGGTTAGGGCTCCAAGCTCCTAATGCAGGGGGCTCGGTTGGGGAACCGAGTTGGGGAACCAATTGATCCTTGGTTGGGAAACTGAAATCACACAAGCCAAGTGACCAAAAAAAAAAAGAAAAAACAGTAATAGCACTAACCCTCTGCTCAAATGTGAGGCAGTTGGAGTGTTTCTCAAGCTCCCAGCACCTTCTAATCTGACTTTCCATTCTTGCCTCCCTTGGCGTCTCCCTCATTCCCACTCCCCACACCACACTCCCAGGTCCCGTCTGTGTCCCTTGTCCCCCGTCCCATCCCCACCCCTCCTCCTCTTCTCCTTCCCCCCAGCCCGGCTCCAGCCCTCAGCCCCGGAGACTGCTGCCCTCCCTGCTGGGCATGGAGAAGCCACCAGATGCCCTCAGAGGGGGCCCCCAGCCTGTTCTTAGTGCTCGCGTCTCCCTGAACTGCAGGCCTGGCTTCAAGTCAGACAAGGACACTCAGACCAACCTCATGGTCGGCTCCTCTGATTAGTCATTTACATACACCCCTAATCTCAAGAGAAGTGAGGTGAGCCCTAACGTTAAAATGATGAAGAAGGAGAGGATCAGCTCAACCAACACAGGTCAGGAAGAATCTGTCGCAGCTGTGGCTGCAGCTACGGCTCCGGAGGCTCAGCTGAGGCCTGAGCTTCCCGGGGACTCAGCGAAGTCTGGCCGTTAACTCTCCACCATCTGATGCTGCACAGAGTTGGGTCAGCCTTGAATCCAAGTCTTGGAAGTAAAGGTCCCAGGACTAGATGGGCCGGTCTGCAAGGGGTCCCATCAGCAGCCACATCAGGACCAGGAAGACTTACAAGAACGGAGACACTTTCCCCTCCTGCCGACTCTCCAAAGATGGTCACAGAGCCTGGATCCCCTCCAAAGTTGGCAATGTTCTCCTGGACCCAGCGCAGCGCGGCCACCTGGTCCAAGTGGCCCCAGTTCCCGCGGCTGTGCTCGTCCCCTGTGCTGTGAGTGAGAGATCAGGGTGGGGCTGGGAGCAGAGATGTCCCGGCAGGGCCCTGAGGACCAGAGATGGGGCTGAGGGTCCAGGTGAGGCCCAGATTTCTTTTCTGGGACAGACTGGGCTTCCACAGCCCTGACACGGGGTCTTCACTTTCCTGCTGTCCTGCTCTGCTACAGGGCTCTACACAGCCACCCTTCATCTATTGATGAGCATTTCCTATGGTCGGGGTGAAACCCTGGCTCACGTGGTGGAGGAGAGGCCGGGGGAGAGGAAGTGGGGCGAGCATGTGTAGTTACACTGTCACTGGGAGCAGACATGGGCCGTGGGGGGAAGAGCTGAGGGGTCTCTGTGAAGGGGACACGTCCTGGGACACGACTCCCCTGGGACAACCCTCCCCCAGCCCACAGGTCTTTCCAGGGAGGTGACCATCCCTCTCCCGGCCCACCCCCCAGCATTTCAGGGTAAGAGGTCCTGGTGCCAATGCATTCAGGAAAAGCTCAGTAACTGCCTTCTGGAGACCTGGTTCCTGTCCCCAGAGAATCCACATGGGAGACTCAAGGCTTCACTCATGCATGTGCCAAATTCCAGGAAGGAAATGGGGTGAGTGGGCCCAACGCTCCTCCTAGTAGATGTACCCCTGGAGTCAGATGCTCCTTACAACCTCCCAGTTCTAGGCACCCGTTCCTTCACCTACAAGATCATGGAGCTGCCCCATGTGTCTGCCCCTTCTTTACTTCCCAGGAGGAAAGATGTGTGAGCCTCTAAGAGCAGTGCTGCATGGTAATGGTTGTCTTAAAGAAAGTGCCACATGCCAGGCAGCACAGTGAAAAAGAGATAAGTAGTTCAGATGAGATAACAATGGGTTGGGCTTTGTAGGAATCATAGGAGTTTGTCAGGTAGATTAGGTGTTTTATGTGTAAGAGCTGAGAAGTAAGTGGACCAGGGTGGCTGGGGAATGAGAAAGTAGGTGGAGCCCAGTTATGAGGGGACCCAGATGCCTTAGTAGGGAGCCTAGCAAGGATCCCCTTGAGGGCTTGCATGACCAGAGTGGGGTCCTAGCACCCCCACACTGGGGACAGTGTGTCACCAGGAGAGTCCAGGGTCTTACCTGAAGAATCCCCAGATGCCCAGGCGGTACTGGATGGTCACCACCACCACGTTTTCATGGGCAGAGAGGGCCAGCCCATCATAGGTTGATGCCCCGCCCACCATCAGACCTCCTCCATGGATCCACACCATCACCTGGATGGGGAGGATGCAACCTCAGGGTTACAGGAAGCAGAGCTGGGGAAGACCTCAGAGGCAGGTTTGGTCACCTACCCGTTCTCCAGCTCCGGCCCAGGCCACCACCCAACTCAGGGCACCCTGGCTGCCCCTGTCTGTCTCCCCTGCCCCAGGGCCACCTGCTCTCAGCGCTCTTCATGCTCAGAACATCATCATGGGAACAGCCGAGGCTCGCGCATCACCTCCTCCCCAACACTCCCACCACCCTCACTCCTGGACCCCTCACCCAGCTCAGCACACTCAGCATGCAGAAGCCCTTGTTAGAAGCTTGTTTTAGCTTCATCTTAGTTATGTTTCAGGTGGTGAATTCAACTTCTCAAGTGAATGAATGATCGTGTTAAGAAGCACACGCCATGGGTGGTACCTCTTCTTAATATGACTTCTGCTACTCCAGCTCTACTTCCTCCTCCACTCCCCAAATCTCACCCATCCTCCAAAGCCCAGCCTAAAACCACCTCCTTCAAGAAGTCTTCAACCATTTGATGAATATGATCTTAAAACCTACTAGGTGCCGGGGCACCTGAGTAAGAACTGAGGATGAGAGAGAACCTGATAATTCATAATTCACAGCCCTCAATTTAAGGAGTTCACATAGCAAGAAAGTGAGAATGACTAAAATAACAGAAACATTTGGTTAATAAAAAAAAATCAAAGAACTCATATATAAATTATGTAACAAGCATCATTCTAAGCATTTAAAATAAACCATCCATGAGAAAGGAATTACTATCATCCCATTTCATAGACAAGAAAACTGAGGCACTTAACCACCCTGAGGTCACACAGCTAATAGGTGGTGGAGGCAGGAGTTGAACCCAGGCAGTCTGGCTCCAGAGTCCACATGTTGAGCCACCCAGCATACAGCAGCCAATGGCCATGCTGCAGTAGGTTGGCTGTTGGGGCAGAAGGACTTCCTTCCCTTCAACTCTAACTAATGCATCAGGAAGGCTAGCCTCATGTGCTGTGCCAGACACTGCCATAAATCTTCATATTTGTCACTGAACACTTGTGTGTGATTATCCTCAATTTGAAGAAACAGTAAAAGGTGGAACAAGGATTTACACCCAGACTCTGTGGTTCCAGAGTCTGTGTCCACAGTAGAGGTTCTCCAGCCTCGGGCTCCCAAAGCCCCTGCTCCTCCAACACTTCTGATCCCTGACTACTCCAGGTGGAGGGACTGAGTTTTCAGTCATCTCTGAATCCAGGCTGAGTCAGGGGCTGGTCGGCAGTGATTTCCTGAAAAGGCCAGTCCAGTTCTGGGCAGATCCTCAAAGGTAGGGGCTGTGTGGTCATGGTTTTATGTTTTTCCTTTCTCCTAACTCTTATTTCTACATCTGTCTATGGGAGTGCCAAGTACACAATAGGGAAAAGAAATGAATGCATAAATGAATTAGTGAAAAATTGTCCCTACCTCTCTGAGCTTCTAGTCACAAGTTCACAGACACCCTTCTCCACATCTTGGCACCATGCCAGGGGTGTTCCTGGGTGATGGCTGGGTGTGTCCACCCGTCTCTACACCCACTGACCCCTCCTTTTCCAGCAGACCTGCCCTGACCTCCAGCCTGAGTCTGCAAGTCAGCTCTGTCTCTGGGTTCCATGTATTCTGGAAATGCTGACTGACTGGATCATCAGCTTTAGCCAAAACAATGAGGAAGTGAAATTAACCACAGAAAATCTTGATAGCTGGCAAAGGCAAAGGAGTAACTCTGGGAGTTTGTGATGGACAGGGAGGCCTGGCGTGCTGCGATTCATGTGGTTGCAAAGAGTCGGACATGACTGAGCGACTGAACTGAACTGAAAGGCAAAGGAAAATACACCTTTGTTGCTCCAGGCTCTGTCCTCCAACCGGTGACACCAAGTCACAGTAAGTTGTCAGAGAGAGTTTCTGTGTGCTGATGAAAGGCCACACACAGGCTCCTCTGTTAGCCTGTGTCAGAGAGCTCCCGGCTGTTCCAGGGGCCCTGTGCTCCAGTCCCGCCAACCCTACTCTGTGACCACGCCTTCCCCTCACTGGGCCTCAGTTTCTGTGTCTGTAAAGCAATGGTTGCTTGTTGGCTTATCATCAAGATTCCTTCCAGCTCTAACTTTATGGAAATGACGTTTTACGTTGTCTGGGTATCAGATTCCTAATCTAGCAGTTAAAAGTCATTCTTCTTGTCCATCTATTAGCAAGAGGGACTCCAGAAAAATTCAAATGTACATTACAGATGTGCAGCCATCTCCCCCAGGGGCCCAACTCTGGCCGAAGGGAAACAGGTGTGAGCAACCTGTGTTCCCTGATGTCAGGTTTGGCTGTGATGCTAAAGAAAGCCCTGGGGCCCCAGAAGAACCTGGACCCAAGATGCCCCACTTAACACCACCTTCATCCCTTCCAGTCTACACCAGCCTTGACCAGGGGTTCCCACCGCTTACCGGCAGCCTGCTTCTCTTCGTCAAGTCAGCAGGGGTGTATATATTTAGGTAAAGACAGTCTTCGGAAAACGTGAGGCTAATGTTCTCCTTTCTGTTGGTAAACAGATCCGAGAGCAACTGCGCCCCCACTCGGTCCTGGGAGCACCTGCGAGGGGCAAGGAGAGAGAAGAATTCTTGAGGTTCAATCAGAGCTGACCAAGGACATGTCTCCTGTGGTCATCGAAGTTCTTGGACTGCCAGCTTCAAGCCAGTAAATAGCGTTGTTCTTCCCATACCTGGGGCATGCGATGGGGATCCTCAGGCTCACCAAGGTCTCCCAGGACCATGTACGGTCAGACCTGACCCTCTTCCCTTCCTGGGGCCTCTGGAATGCCCTGGGGCAAGGGAGGAGGCTGCCTAGTGTCCTGATGGGCGTGAGAAAGGACCATTTCCTGCTTCCCTGGGGCCACACCAGTGCTGTATGACTCCCGGTGCAGAGTGCCTATATTCTGCCCATAGGGAAACATGGTCTAGTTCACAGGAGACTTCCAGAAACGAGGGGAAACCAAGGAAATGGCAGATATTTAGGGCCTACAACATATCAGGGGTCAAATATTTGTGGGGCAGCATTAGAACTATATTCTAGTCCTGCCTCAGCCTGATTTGCTGGGTTTCCTTGGGTGAATGCCTTGCCTGCTCTGGGTCCCAATCTGTCTGATGTAAGTGAGGGGAGTGATTTCTATAAGGATCTAGCAACATGGACATGCTAATATTTGTCAGCAACTCATCACAGGCAAGAGCTATTGGTTGTCCCAATAGGAGACTTTAAAGATGCTACAGATATTATAATGTTTAATGCTTATCGAGTCCTCTCAATTTGCCAACTGTTGTTTTAAATACTTCTTATTTATTAACTCATTTAATCTTCAAATTGGCTCCATGATATAGGCTCTATTATTATCCTCATTTTAGTTGATAAACTGAGGCACAGAGAAGTTAGAGAACCTGCCCAAGGTCACACAGCCAGAAAGAATCACACAATGTACTGCTTATGTTTTCAAGGATATTATAAGCCACATTTCCGGATCTCAATGCCCCCACAAAAAAAGGCATGACTGCCCTCAGTATGTCGATCAGGTAACTGAGGCGCTGATGTGCTTGGATGACACAGCTGTCCAGTCACAGAATGTCAACCTCAAAGATAACCTCTTGATTTCCATCCCATGGGGACTTTCCCCAGATCACCTAGGCAAGGGGCATAATATTCATAGAAGATTAATAGTTAAAAAGGAAAAATACTCAATGTGAGTAGTATTCAAACAAACACAGAATAAAAAGAATAATTTTGTATATAATGGTGATGATAACAATTATTATCATTAACATTATTCTGCCTATTCAGTAGATAAAAACCATTTTAATAACTCCAAGCATTGACAAAAATTCAATTAATGGAGGTTTTCATATATTAATTAAAACAATGCAGTTGGAATATTTCTGAAGGGAAATTCTAAAAATACTCTTACTCCAAAATGTTATATCTTAGAATTTATCCAAAAATGAATATGCATGAAAATTTAGCTATAGGATGTTCATCAGAGTGCTATTTATAGTATAAAAAATATCAACAACAATGAAGAACTCCAAATAAGAGATGGAGTAAAAAAATTATGATTCAGTACTCAATATAATATGGTGATTAAATGTCAGGTTGTGATATTTAATGACACGGAATGCTGTTCATGATATACTTTCATGAACTTAGTCTACTACTTTCATCTAAACTATCTGTACTGTGTAATATGATACTGTGATATAAGAAAAATAAGTATTTGTAAGAAGTATGTATTTGATCTTTGGCCAGTTTCTGCTGAAGAGCTCTTGAAACCCTTGTGTTCATAATTTCCTGAGCAGTGTATACTGCTGGGCTAATGAAGTGACTTTTGGACCACACCTAAGGGCGGGAACTTGGTTGCCAGAGGAATTAATCTCATGATTAAAAGCGAGGGAACCTCCTGTCACAGCCCCCTGAGCTCTGGAAAGAGAAGATGGACTGGAGGGGAATCAATCACCAGGGGCCCATGATTTCAATCCCCTGCCCATGTAATGGCTTTCCAGGTGGCTCGGAGGTAAACAACCTTTCTGCCAATGCAGGAGACACAGGAGACTACCTGGAAGATTACCTGGGAGAGGAAATGGCAACCCACTCCAGTATTCTTGCCTGGAAAATTCCATGGAGAGAGGACCTGGTGGGCTATAGTCCAAGGGGTTGCAAAGAGTCAGACACAACTGAGCAATGAATACTCATGCCCATGTAACAAAACCTCCGTAAAAACTCAAAAGGACAGGTTCAGAAAGCAACCCAGTTGGTGAATCAGAACTTGTTTTTATTTTTCACACTGCATGGCACGTGGGATCTTACTTCCTCGACCAGGGATTGAACCCTTTGCTGTGGAAGGGCGGATTCTTAACCACTGGACAACCAGGGAGGTCACCGTGCTGGATCCTCTGTCAGGGACCTCACATTATGGATCTCTTCATCTGGCTAGTGGTTTGTATCCTTCAATATCCTTCATAATGAACTGGTAATCCAGTGAGGAAATTAGTTTCTTGAGTTCTGTGAGCTGCTCTGGTAAATTAATAGAACCCAGGAAGCGGGTCACGGGAACCTCTGAATTATAGCCAGTTGGTCAGAAGCAGAGTTGACAGCTTGGAATTGGCATCTGAAGTAGAGGGAGGTTTTGTGGGACTGAGCCCTTCACGGATGGAATCTGATGCTATCTCTGGCAAAACAGTGTCAGAAGTTAGTTGAATTGTTGGACACACATATGGTCTGCAAGAATTGCTTTTTGGTGTGGGAAACACACACATGCATTAGAATTGGGTACAGAAAATTATGTGATTCCACTTTAAGGGAGAAATTATGGAACAGATAAAAGACTAGAAAAATAAAATCTAAAGTATGAACAGGAGCTCTTGCTAGGTGTTGGAATTGTGTATGATTTTCATTGTCTTAATTTTACTTACCATCATCACTTTTCAAAAAATTATTTATTTGGCTGCATGTTTCTTGGCTCGTGTGGTCTTTTAGTCACAGCATGTAAACACCTAGTTGAATAAAGGGCTCTAGAATGCTGTGAGAGTTCTGGAATGTTGATGAGGATCTACAAGAGTTTGAGGATTTCACAGCAAAGTATGAGTCACTCAGAGGTTTGCCTTGGCTCCTTCCTGCATCCCTTTGAGACTAACATCCCCACTGAAAGATGCCAAAACCACACCCCCGACTTACATGGGAGGGTAAGAGGTGGTATTCTTCACGAAGATCCATGGCTCTGCAGGCTGCGGCGGAGCAAACCTCAAGGATCCAAGAGGAGGCTTGGCAAAAGGGACTCCCAGGAAGACGGCCACAGGCTGTGCAAATCCTTTTAAGCTGACATGTTTCCCCAGGACTCTGCCCTGAGCGGTGTCCACGACAGGCGGTGAGGGCGCCAGCCCTGCTGGACATTGGGAGGAAGTGAGGACACGTCAGTGGTGACAGTGAACTGGATTCTGGGTGGATTTTGTTACTTTTGCCACCTTTGTTACTTTGCCACATGATCTTGAATGTCCTCTCAACTCTCTAAGCCTCAGCTTCTTATGTAAGAGAGGGTGAAGCTCTTTCCTAACTCACAGGGTCATCAGAGGGAGGGTGACTCGGGGTCACATTCCATCTGTCCCATTCTCGTGGAGCAGGCGGTTTTTTTCTCGCTGAGCTTAAATGCGTCTCCTGCAGTTGCCACATCAGGCCCGGTCCTCACTGCTCAAGGACATCCTTCATGAGGCAGGTGGCCTTAGCAACCCCCGTTCATGCTCGTCCCTTAAGTCCTCTCTTGTCCATCCTCAACAGCTGCAGTTTCTTTAAGCATCCTTACAGGAAATGATTTCCAGCCTCTCACCCTTCCAATTGTTCCCCTTTAGATATAGACAAAAGGTCAACCTCTCCCTCGAAGTGTGTGGCCAGAACAAAAAATAACCCAGATCTGGTCTTATAGACACATCCAATGACAGCCTTCGAGAGACATGACATGGACAGATGCCCAGTTGGCAAGAGTGAAAAAGTGGGTGATGGGCTGTGAGGTATAGGCAATGATGGTGACTGCAGCAGTACTGTTTGTGTTATAGGTAATGTTTGCGTATTGAGCACTTACTATATACCATGTGGGCACTCTAATCAGAAAAGCCTGGCTAGGGAGACATCTATATGTCCTCTTATAGATGAGTTAACTGAGGAAATGGAGGCAGCTAGTATGGATTTTCTAAAGGTGGAAAAGGTATGACCCTTCCAGGGGGTAACTAGCAGTAAGGGGATAATCAGCTTCTAATTAGGGCTTCCCTGGTGGCTCAGATGGTAAAGAATCTGCCTGGAATGCAGGAAACCTGAGTTTAATCCCTAGGTTGGGGAAGATCCCCTGGAGAAGGAAATGGCCACCCACTCCTGTGTTCTTGCCTAGACTGAGGAACCTGGTGGGCTACAGTCCACAGGGTCACAACGAGTCAGACATGACTGAGTGACTAACACATAACTGCTCTTCCCCTCAGTTCCAGGCGTCTCACAGTGTCACAGCACCAGGAGGAAGATAAACCCAGTGCAGCCTGGGCTGTCAGAGCACTGATGGCCAGAATACTGGCTCTGGACTCAGGAGACAGAATTCAGAGTGTGATGTTCCAGCTGATTTTGGGCATGTAGAATTCCCCCTCTGAGGCTCAGTTTTGCCATCTATAAAATGGTACAGATGCATTCTGAGGTACCTTGCTGCACCCTTGTATTAACCATGTCCTCTATGTCCCGTATTCTGATGCGTTGACAGCTGGAGCCCTGCTGATTCTGGGAGGACTGCCCCTCTCAGAGTTAGCCAATCCCTGGAGACAGGAATGAACTTCCCCTTCCAGCATGCCAGAGCCTGTACCCCAAACTCCTTATTTATCAGGTCCTCCACATTGGCCACTATCATCCTGCCCCAACCACTCTAGGACAAAGTAACTGAAAATTGGGTGCATCCCCCAACCTGCTGAAATTGTCTACTTTGCCACTCCCAAACCTATTTATCCTGCCTCACCTCTTCCTTCCCTATCAGCGACCAAGATAAATACCCTTACTCCCAATTTCTGTTCTTCCCTCGTGACCCACCCCGGTCTTCACCACCTGGCACACCATGGTAGGACCGTGCTCTCTCCTCCATGAAAATGTGAGTCATAAACCATCTTTTCAAAAGGCAGTTGGCTCCTGATCTGTGAGCCTTAGAATACCCTAATAGTCTATTAATACATATCTTTTTTTTAAGCTTTAAACTTTTAATTTTGTATTTGGATATAGCTGATTAACAATGTTGTGATAGTTTCAGTGAACAGCGAAGGCACTCAGCCATACATATACATATATCCATTCTCTTCCAAACTCCCTTCCCATCCAGCCTGGCACATAACATTGAGCAGAGTTCCATGTGGTATACAGTCAGTCCTTGTTAGTTAACCATTTTAATGTAGCAGTAATACAGTGTCTTTGAAAATAACTCCTTTATCTCTTTTTTCACTTTCTCTACTTCAGGCACTCTTTAGAATAAACAGCCCATTTCCACCTCACAACAGTCCATGGAGGTAGAGTTGTCACCCCCATTTTTGAAATGCAAAACCAAGGCACAGAGAAGGGACATCCCCTGTGTAAGAACACACAGCCCCTAAGTGCTGAGCCGGGACGGGAACCCACACCTCTGTCTCCGGAGCTGGTATTAAGATCCCTGTAAGATCTCTTCAGGGCTTCCCAAGTGGCTCAGTGGTAAAGAATACACCTGCCAATAGACACAGGTTCTATCCCTGGGTCGGGAAGATCCCAGGGAGTAGGAAATGGCAACCCACTCCAGGATTCTTGCCTGGAAAATTTCATGGACAGAGAGCCTGGTAGGTAAGAGTCCATGGGGTTGCAAAAGAGTTGGACATGAGTTAGCTACTAAACAACAATAACAGAGATCCGTTGCAAGATTCTGGTAAAGACCCACTCCATATCCATATTAATAATCAAGAGGGAAAGACATGGAGGAGTTCGCCAAAGTCCTCAGCGGGATGTGGGAGGGGAGCTGAGTTTCCTCCTCTGGTGTGGCCGTGCCGAGCTGAGTCTAGGGTGGGCATGGTCCCCTGTGTCTCCTGCCTTGGGGCACCGGCTGGGCTACACCGTTCAAGTTCACAGAGAGCATGCTGTTGCAGAACCCGGCCTGTCATGCCTTGCCCTGTGCCCATTCTTGTCCCCTACAAGGATTTCCAAAGGTGCTCCTGCTATCTGCATTTCAGGAGGACTCACCCCAAGCTGTGAAGGAGCCGAGGGAAGTCAGGACCAGAGCTAAGAGCCACATTCTGGAAAGAGAGCCGCTCCCGTCCCTGCAGGTGTCTGCGCTGCTCACAGGTGCTGTTTCAGTCCTGCTCCCAGCTGCCACCCCCAGCTCCCTCCACAAGCTTCCGCCCCAGCTGCTCAATAACAAGCAAATCTCTCCTCCCTTGCTTGTAAGTGGTTGGAGTGTGTGAGCCACGCCCACCCAGTTTACCATCTCTGAAATCAAGAACCCAGACTTAACTCTCCAATTGCAGGTAGCTGCAGCTTCTATAAATGACTTGTTTCGTAAGTGCTTCTCATTTCCTGGACTCTAACCTTACTGCTCTGTGATCTTCCCAGGGCAGGCGCAAACAGACAAGAGGCCTTCAGATAAGGTGAGTTTTTGATCTGGGGTCCTCAGAAAAACTGGAAAGCTTTCAGAGCAACTCCTAGCCCCAGAGAATTAAGGGCAAAGCTTTTCATTTCCTTTGGCTTCAATTTCGGAGTTCCATGGTCAGGGAACTAATCACCTATCCAGGCAGAGATCTTGGGAGAGAATGTCTTTACAATAAAGGGACTCCATCTCTCCATTTCTTTGGTTCTAATTATTCATCCATCCATCCATCCTTCCTTCCATTTATTCACTATTTCATTCATTCATTCTCCAAACATTTACCAAATGCCTGGCACTATGCTAAGTGCTATGGATACAAAGATAAAACATGGTCCATCTCCTGCAGGAGTCAACATGTAATAGATAAGACAGAGGCAGGGAGAGGTGATTGGTGGGTTGCAATGCAATCTGGCAACACCAAGGTAGAGGGATGCAGAGAGCCCTGAGTACACCTGTGCCAGTGCCCTCACCTTCTAGGGACAGAGGAAGGTGCTCAAAGCCCGTCTAGTAGAATCATTTTATGTCCAATACATGGGACGTTCTCTAAGTACACTCTGGTACAGCCGGCTAGGGCTATGCTTTCACTAAAACTAGTGATGTGCACCTCTGTTTCTTAATAGGGAAAGGCAAGCATGATATATTGTGAAGGGAAAACAATTATAATATAGTTATGACTGCATTAGGATACTGTTTGGCAGTTCCTCAAAAATCACACACAGGCTCCACACTGCCACTGCAGGGAGAATGGATTTGCTCCCTGGTTGGGGAACTAAGATCCTGTATGCCATGTGGTGTGGCCAAAAAACTAACCAAAAAAATCAAACACAAGGTCACCATATTACCCAGAAATTCCACTTCTAGGTATATACCTACAATAATTGAATAGGACCATTATTCATAATGGCCCAAAGTAGAAAGAATCCAAATGTCCAGGAACTGATGAACGGACAAATTAAATAATATCTGTCTGTACAATGCAGTATTATTGAGACATAAAAAAAAGTGAAGTACTGGTACATGCTAAACAGGGATGAACCTTGAAAATATTGAATATTACACTAATGAAAGGAGCCAGACATGAAAGGACAGAGATTGTATGATTCTATTTATATGAAATGTCCAGATTAAGCAAATCCATAGAGGCAGAAATTAGTTCAGAGGTTGCTGCAGGCCTAGGGTTTGGGGGGCGGGGAGTGATGTGTGAGTGCTACTGGGTAGAGGCTTCTCTTTGAGATGATGAAAATGTTCTGGGATTACATAGTGGTGATAGTTGCAGAACTCTGTGAATATAGTCAAAAACCACTGAGCTGTAAGCCTTAAAAGGTGAATTTTGAACTTCCCTGGTGGTCCAGTGGTTTAGACTCCACATTTCCAGTGCAGTGGCAGCAGGTTTAATTCCTAGTGGGGGGATTTAGATCTCACATGTCACATGGTGTAGCCAAAATAAATAAATAAATAAATAAATTTTTAAAATATGAATTTCATGGTGTGTGGATTATCTTTCAATAAAGAAATATTTTCAAAATTTAGTCATGCATAATTTCCCATTATAATAAGGAAAACTGGGCTTCCTTGGTGGCTCAGATGGTAAAGAATCTGCTTGCAATGCAGAAGATCCAGGTTCAATCCCTGGGTTGGAAAGATTCCCCTGGAGAAGAAAATGGCTACCCACTCCAATATTCTTGCCTGGGAAATTGCCTGGACAGAGGAGCCTAGTGGGCTACAGCCTATGGGGGTCGCAAGAGTCAGACACAACTGAGTGACTTTCATTCACATAATAAGAAGTATGTATCTTTTGTAGGAAAAAATTTGGAAGGTTAGATATTTGATTTCTGTATGCAACAGCCATGTCCTGGCTAAATGTGTTTTTACTTCTTTGCATGTTCCATTTGTATTCATTCAGACATTCACATGACAACTATTCACTGAGCTCACTGTGTGGGAAGCGCTGTGTGGAGGGTGTGTATGCAGGATCTCACTCAGTTCTCAAAATCAACCCTTGAATTGATATCATGATTTCCCAGTGCTCAGCAAGGACAAGGAAATAGCCCACAGGCACACAGTAAGTAAGAGGAAGAGCTGAGAACTGAACTACAACAGCACAATGTTACAGCCCCAGCTCTAAATGTTGTGGGAACCGGAGTCCTGAGGTATGAGGCTCCTTGCGAATGAGATGAAACAGAAATAAAGGGATTGTCTCCAGGGCTGCAGACTGAAGAGGCAGCTCTGCCTTCTACACGCGAGCACTGTTTTCCAACGATCAATTGTCAAAACTGACCTGGTCCAGGCCAGAGCAATGCTGACACAGGGAAGGATTGGGCAACTATAAACCACATGACAATCTTAGAAAAGTTGATGGGTTCTTGGCCAAGATCATGGGTTGTGGCTGAAATGAACCTTCTGGAGACCCAAGTTCTAAACGTGATGCTCATCTGCACTCATTCTGGCAATGGCAGACCAGTGAGGGGTGAGAGTTTGGGACCGCAGCGAAGTCAGCCCCAAGACGTGACTGCTTCTACAAAGACCAACCTGGGCTGGGGCTCCTCCCTTTCACCAGGAAAGATACATAGGTCCTAAAGAGTACCCTAATAAAAAACACTCCTGTCTCTGTCCACACTGAACGATCCAGGCTGTCTTCCAAAGTAGACAACAAGCCTGTTTCTAATCACTTAGCTCTCATACACACGTGTGTGCCTTACTACTTATACATACATGTGCGCCTGCCCACCCCCCCCCCCAACACACACAGTGGTTAAGTCATAGCCATTCTGCCCTTTTCCCTGTTCAGCTGGCCTTTGCAACTTGTAATTCAATCCTGGCTCTTAGACTATGAAGACCCCAGGATGCTGCATTCATTTCAGTTCAGTTCAGTTGTTCAGTTGTGTCCAACTCTGAGACACCATAGACTGCATCATGCCAGGCTTCCCTGTCCATCACCAACTCCTGGAGCTTACTCAAACTCATGTCCATCGAGTTGATGATGCCATCCAACCATCTCATTCTCTGTCGTCCCCTTCTCCTCCTGCCTTCAGTCTTTCCCAACATCATGGTCTTTTCCAATAAGTCAGTTCTTTGTATCAGGTGACCAAAGTATTGGAGTTTCAGCTTCAGTCCTTCCAATGAATATTCAGGACTGACTTCCTTTAAGGATGGATTGATTGGATCTCCTTGCAGTCCCTTGGACTCTCAAGAGTCTTCTCCAACACCACAGTTCAAAAGCATCAATTCTTCAGTGCTCAGTTTTCTTTAGAGTTCAACTCTCACATCCATACATGACTACTGGAAAAACCATAGCTTTGACTAGATGGACCTTCATCGGCAAAGTAATGTCTCTACTTTTTAATATGCTGTCTAGGTTGGTCATAACTTTTCTTTCAAGGAGAAAGTGTCTTTTAATTTCATCACTGCAGTAACCATCTGCAGTGATTTTGAAGCCCCCCAAAATAAAGTCTGCCACTGTTTCCATTGTTTATCCATCTATTTTCCATGAAGTGATGGGACCGGATGCCATGATCTTAGTTTTCTGAATGTTGAGTTTTAAGCCAACTTTTTCACTCTCCTCTTTCACTTTCATCAAGAGGCTCTCTAGTTTTTCTTCACTTTCTGCCATAAGTGTGGTGTCATTTGTATATCTGAGGTTATTGATATTTCTCCCAGCAATCTTGAATCCAGCTTATGCTTCATCCAGCTGCATTAGCCAGATGGATTCTGCATTAGCCAAATATAAAAGGTAAGGATGAATTATTCTCCTAGTCCCCCTGTTCTAACACATGCCTTATTGTGACACCCACAATTCTGCAAACATGGACAGCAGTGCCCAGACCTTGATGTATCTGGCTGCAGCCTAAAGCTGGCCCACTCCTGGCTCAGGAAGACTCTGCAGAAATAGATGAAGTTTCAAACCAAACCTCTATTTGCTCAACCTGTGCCGTCTCCCGGGATCATACCAGCTGTAAACTGATTCAGTTGCAATTGATAGAACTATGTTTTTTAACTTGGGAAACTCAAGTTCCCCATATAAAACTAGATAGTCTGAAGAATAAAATCCTAGACTGGACTTAATGCTTAAGTAGTTCGGCAGGTCTTAGGAGAGAAGACCCCTCTAAACTCCAAATCAGCCACCCCCGCCTCCTGCCACCTCCATCAATTCACTCAACAGATCCATGGAGAGCAGTTCCTAGAACAAGCACTGGACAAGTCTGAACTCATGTTCTCCTGGACCATTCACTGGGCTGTACTAATTAATCATGGGATTAATCGGGCTTGGCCTTCAAGGTGAGCAGCACTGCACTAGGGGACCAGAGGTCCGGGAAACCCACAGGGTGACTTTGGAGGTCCTTTATGAAAAAGGGGTGGGGGGTGGCTATGGGTGAGGTGAGGTCTTCATCCACCTTGGATCAACACTCTATGAACTAGAATCCTATGAAAATTTTCAATGCAGCCTAGACATACACCATGTTTCTGGAACCCGTTATTCTCATGCTAACATCACACTTTCAGCCATAGCAGCATACCATCTATATACTATTATGAGCAGTTGTTGTGGTTTTTTTAAATAATTTTATTTATTTACGTTTGGCTGTACTAGGTCTTTGTTGCTGTTTGGGCTTTTCTCTAGTTGCAGAGAGCTGGGGATACTCTCTGTTGCG